TGTAGAGTAGACAGACAGCCAGGGAGCACGGATCAGGCTAGGAGGTCGATGGAGCTAGTATCAGCATAGACGAAGATAGAAGAGAATCATCAAGGTGAAGGCTCGCAATCAAGCGAGCTGTGAGCATGGAGGGGGAACGTGATGAACGGCAAGGCATCAGGTCAGTGGATCTGATACAAGGCGTACACAGCACCAAGCATCGACAGGTGCCTATCTTACCTTACCCTAAGGTAGGTTACGTACCTTAGCACATAGTACATCGAAGGGGACGGGGGAGAAGGGGGGAAGGGGGGAGGTCCGTTGCCCCCTGAAGCGGACCCTCTTTTTGGCTGGCAGCCCCTAAGAGCACTAATCTCAGGCCCATCCAGCCCCTGGGAAGATGAGGCGCAGGCACCGATGATGAGAGGGCCAGATCACAGCAACAGGTGGGAAGCGTCGATTGGATTGGCCAACGGACAACCCTCTGGCTGGGCTTATCGGGGTAGCTCATCCAATGATGGGCAATTTGACCAGAATTTTCCCTTTCCATTTGCCAGCCAGTTGAGTTGGTTGGCAGGGCCCCTCGCTCGTGCCGTCCACTGGGGCATGCACGCGCATCTCATCCACCGTTCCACGTCTCCATCGAATCTCGTCTCCTGGACCCTCTCAGCCTCTCCTGCTCCTCCCCCTGGTCGACCGTCTCTGCTATCCCGTCTTTCCATCCCACCCCTCCCCTCCCCCCGTTTACAGTACATGGTAGTAGGCTCCTCCCATTCCCACACAAATCTCCATCCAAACCACTACCAAGCACCAAGATTACCGGCCGACACAGAGCTGGACCGGGTCTCTCTCTCACACACAAACGCGCGCGCAGACTCGTGCACCGCAGTCTTTCTTCTTCGCTCCTTCTTCTTCTCCTTCTTCCTGCTCCTGTTCCACCCCCTCTGACCCTGCGAACGAGGACGACGCTGACAAGCTTTTCCCGCCCGGCTTCAGCTCAGACTCCCGCTACTGTACCGCTATTGCCACGTCCATTCTCGGTACCTACAAAGCACACGTTTGTACATCTGCAGCTTTTTTTTTGCAAGGGACCCCC